TCTTTTATTTGGTAAGAAAAAGGTGACTATTGTATTTGTGGGGGAAACTTCTGTGTAGCAATGCATGGAGTCACCGACTCAGGAAGGAGACACGGTGAGAGTTGGAGCTTTGATGTCAAACACTGATGGGTTTATTTCAGAGTATCGGCCGGAGGATTCACATCACAAGTCAAAGAGTCAGAGGTTCTGACTTCACGGTAGAGTTGCCACGTCAATTCTGAAGAGCCTCTCTCTATGTTAGACCTTTTAACTGGTTCACAGAGAGTAATCAACATCTCTGAAGGAGTAGACTAAACAGCTGGGAACACTGAGCCACCTGCGTCCGACACTCATGGCCTCAAAGATTTCACATTTTAGAGTCCACAAACACCGATAAAGAAGTGCCTCAGCGTTCTCACAACAATTACCATTCGTGCCAGACAAGTTGACCGGTCACAAACTGGTAACAACACATATGGCACCAATGCCTTTCCTTAAAGGAGATAACAGACGTCAGAGTAGATCATAAAACGTCACAGAGCAAAAGGTTAGATATCTAGAAGAATTATTCCTTAACAGTATTTAGCATGTAATTAAGTTTCGCCTAAATCAATAATAATCAAACAACCCTAATGAAACTGCACGAAGTTCACATTTTGACTTTTTCTATCAGTGAATGTTAATTTTAAGTTGCATCTAAAATACATATTGCATAGTACTTGGAAAGAAGGGAATGTTGATACAATGCTGATCTTATAGAGTTGTATAAGATGACCATGGTTGCTAAGGACGAGGTCAAAAATGCAGTGGAAACCTGCGAGATCTGGTTGTAAAAACAGTTTTTTTCTCAAAGTTTGTAAATTGATCCATTTTTACTTTAATATCCAAGTCACTAAATTCTCATTATAAGCTTACACTGTCTCAAATCCTCTCATCATTTAAAATCCCCTGTTTTCATTATATTAAATTAGACAAGATACCACCTACCTGTTGTGTGAAAGGACGTGCAGAGGCAGCTCTCGTGAGGCTTTCTCTATTCAGAGGGACAACAGCACAGCGGCCTTCTGATGTAACTGTGTGTAGACTATGCATGCACTTTGAGTCTGGGGCTTTGTACTTTACAACTCTGGATCTCTGAAGCTGTGTCATGTGACTGCAGAGGGCTGAGCCAGGGGTCCAGTTTGGGAACCAATGTCCTCCGCAGCAGGGGTGGGTGAAGGAAGGGAGTGAGGATGTCAGAAAGGATAGATGGAGGAGGAAAGAAGTGTAGAAAAAGTTTGCAAGAAAGAAAAGGAAACTGATGAGTCTACCAACATGAGAATGAAGGTTCTCTCCATTTTTCTAGAAGGAAAGTGGGGGCCGCTTAGCCAACCAGAAGATGACTTTGGACAGCTTTCTGTGATATCTGAGTGGGTGTTTGGTCAGGGTCAGTCTGGCTTTTGTTCAGCTCGAATTCCAGCCCAGATGAATGACCCCTGTTTGGCACCAACTTCATGGTTTTTCATTTAAGTGCCCTTGCACCCACCACTGGTGCCACATGTTCCATTCCTGAATAATAACATTTCTTTCCAGGCTTGTGACAATAAAGTGAATTACTTTTGATTCAGTAAATAAATATGATTTGAGCTTTTCTTGATTGGGACTGACCAACAACGTGAATACCAAAACAATGACATGTATTTTAATTGAACTAATGAGCACATTCTGATTTGTTGTTTGAGAATTGGCCCCAGAAATGTTTTGATTCAAACACCACATTAAAGCAAAGTTATCCATTTGAATGAATTCAAATGTGTCTCTCAGAGATCAGTCATGCGATTGGTTTACATAAAAAGTCTCTGATCTAAAAGCATGATGTTTGCATTATCCATTTAAAGGGGCACTATATAATGCTCATTTTCAGGTTCACATTTGTATTTTGTGCCTCTACTGTGACATGTCTGCATGCTTTAATGTTCAAAAAGGTCTTCATTTTTCTCATCCTGCCTGTGCTGCAGCACCTATTGTCACCCTCCGTCTGAAACCAGAGCCCAGTCTGCCTAACTGGTTAGCTGAACAGCTCTGTTGTGATTGGTCAAACGCTTAGAGATGTCCCGCCCCTTAGCCTATCACGTACAATGTGTTGGAGGGCTAGCCAATAGAAGCCTGAGTAGGAGTAGAAGGATTCCAATGGAGGTGTTTCAGGCAGGGGGGGGGGGGGGAGTGTGTGGGAGAGAAACTCTGACATTTGAGCCTTTGCAGACATGCACAAAAGCTTATACAGAACACTACAGGAAAGGTAAACCCCACAAATCTTAATAGGGCCCCTTTCATTTGTTATGCATTTTTATATTATACACATAATGTCCGAATCACACAAAAACATGTCTGCTGTTAAGTACATTTTATAACCACTGATTGCATGATCTCATCCATCCCCGAGATATTGCTTCATCTTAAGTGTATTTGTAAGCAAGCTTGTCATCCAGTCACAGGACAGTGTTGTTTTGATAAAACTGTGAGTCATGGTGAATATTTGTGTAGAAGTACAATACTCTGCTTTCTTTCCCCAAACTGCTGAGCTCTGTGTTTGAACAAATATGTCTGTGTTTTTGGAACTGCCTGTATGCTGAGAGTGAGTTTGAAAGATTCACTTGTTAGACATCAACAGGAGGGCAACATGAGCCGAGGATCCACGGGGTGAATTTGTACCGTAGAGAATTTACCTTTAAATAAGACACCAAACATAAGTCTATGTACACCTGACCTTTATCCTTATTCTTATTATGGTGAAGCATTCTTGCAACGGAATCATCTTCCTATATATTAAAAACGTATTTAAAAGTTTTCTCCTTATCATCAATATCTTTGGAATAACAATTGATCAAATGTAAATGTCTGTTGTATGAATCTGTGACGAACCCAGTGCAAAACACTTTTAACTTCTTTTAGCTACTTGTTTTGGGTTTGAAGCCGCAACTTTGTGGTTTTGGTTACTGCTATCATTACATAATCTTTAGCTATCAGCTTTCCGCAAAAAAAAAAAAAGCTTTGTTCCCAGTGCATGTGTGTCTTTTGATATAAACTTACATTATAAGTGATTGGTAAGGCCTATCTTTTAAAGTTTACAGTTACCTTAACTAAATACATGTGGAATGAAGGAATCTATATTGAATATAATTAAACATGCAGATTAATATAGCTTAAAACATGAAATTATTTCAACACCTTGATGTTTCATTTTAACAAATTAGTAATCTGAGGAACATGTATACGCTTACATTTAAACCAACTATTATGATGAGATGATTTGTTTAAAAAACACAATGGTGCTCAGGAGATCTGGGGCCTCATTTGTAAAGGGATATACGCTCAAAAAATGGCGTACGCCAGTTTCTACGCAATGTTTGCGATTTATAAAATACTAACTTGACGGGAAAATGTGCGGTCCTCCACGCAAACTCTAACCCATGCGTACGCACTAAGCACACAAACGGGAGAGACGAGAAACTGCGACACCGTTGGCAGAAGGAAGAATGGAGAGAAATATGTGGAAATAATACCATAAATAAAATGTTACCTCTCATTTATCAAATATGAAGAATTCATTTTCAAACATTGATTAAAGCCAATCTTAAAATGATTAAACAAACGCCTGTTTGAGACTCCTCAGTGCACACAAAAACATAACTTGGAGAAATAAATAAATACGGATATGTTATTTAAAACCACCTCGAATATGTTGTGTTAATGTTATGAAATGTTTTCCCATAAATGATGCGATAAGCAGGAGGACAGAATTACGTCTAAACTGACGCCGTTTTGCATTTCTATAGGTTGTAGATACGAGCATGGTTTTATATACTATCACGTTTAATCGTGTTTTATGCCGTTTGCCAAGACTTGATAAGTCGCTCGTAAAACACAGGAGGTATGGAAACTAAGAACACCATATGTGGTAAATTGTACAGCTAATATAACACAACCCATTAGTTGTATTTCCTTTAACTGGTGGATCATGGATATATAGTTGCTGATCGACAGCTGGAACATAAACCACCAAATACAACAAAATAATTTAGATCCAGTCGTCATGACTCCACTCCGGAGGGATTCCCCGATCATTTCTTACAGTTTCTCATCAAGGGGGGGTCTCCTGTCCCCGGGACAAACACACTGCCTGAGGAAGGTTATGTGTATTTTTTTTGTCATTAACTTTTTTCGGACCACTTATTTATTTATTTTGGTGACGATCCGACCTCCATGCTGCTACTCTGGTTCAAACTGCATCCACCCAACAATATGATTTATCTCCACCTCCCCACAATAACCAAAATCTGACACGGTGTGAGATGTCTTTTTTAGCTGTTCTATCGTCATTTCCTGCGATCTTCTTCATGCAGTCAGTCAGAATGAATGAATGAATGGGCGTTTCTTTGACTATTTATAGGCAAATATGGGCGTTACGAGTCGATTGTGATTTATAAAGGGAAACAGGCGTAGGAAGTGCCGTACGCACTTCTCTCGCCGGTACGCAATGTTTTGTGAATCGGAAAATGGCGGAAAATGTATGTACCTATTTTTGTGCTTTGTACTACAGTACGTAAGCAACCTTCCTACGTCAATCCTACGCAAGGCGTTATAAATGAGGCCCCAGGTGATAAGGTGGGTGGTAGTTACCTTGGTTGGTTATTGGCTTATGGATACACAAACCAAAAATACATTGTGACATCACAAAGTGGCCAAAATCTGGACAGCTCATTTTCAGACAGGTTTTTATATCGATGGATCAGGACAAAAGGAGAGAATCTCTTTACACAGAGGGGACACATATTTATGTAGAAAATATATGAAATGTGGATTTTGCATAAAATGTGATCTTTAAAATTCACTTATTGCATTAATAAGAAAATACAGAAACACCAGCAACGCATATTAGTTAGCCAAACTGAACCATCGAACATAAATTGTGTTTTTTTGAATTGCTAGAGTTGGATTATTGAGACATCAATTTTGTCTAATAAAAAGAAGACCAATCATGGCAAATATTTTTTTGTCTTATTACAAAAAAGATTTTTTATACAAGTTGACATAAAAGTATTAGTGACATTCATCTACAGTTTCCCTAAATTGGACATTAGAAGTAGTGCTGGGTATAGAAACATTTACAGTACAGAAAGATCAGGGTGCATAGCGACACATGTGAAATCTGGCTATTGTTGTTTTTACATACAGTCAAATGTCCAACTTCTCCAACAGGCCAAGAGGAAAAGGTACTTCATAATGTAAAAACGTTTTTGTTTTACTTAAAAAAATCTTTTTGACGAACTGCATAGACCAAATGCAATTAGGTACATAAGAATGTCTTCGACCTCAGGTAGATTTATCACAAACGTACACATAGAAATACAGTGACTTTACACTGCTGAAATATGAACTGCTCTATAATAGAACCGGAGTCAAAGCCAGGTCGTTTTTTCTCACTCAGGGAAAATGTTTTTACAGTATTTTTTGATAAGAAAATGCATAATATTGGTAACTTCAAGAGTAAAACCTTGAAGGAAACAGATGTAGCGTCTATCAAGAAATATCTGATGATTTCTGACTGGAATCAAATCAGAGAAAATCTGACAAAAACAAGACAGAAATAAAGAAAAATAAAATATACAGATTTTTGGTAAAAAAAAATGAAAAAGGAAATGAATGGAATGGAGAAAACAAAAGGAGTCATACTTATCACCTTCATTGCATTCTAAGGAAAAGTGATTTATCTAAATCATGACAAATGCCAGATTTCCCACTTAGCAAAACAACCCATATACAGTACAGTAGAAGGACACAGAAAAAAAGTGCGTTTTTATGAAAATAATGTGCTAAACAGAATCATTCCCAGGACTGTTATAAAAGAAGACACCTCTACATGTTCACAGTAATGTTCCATACAAATACATACATCCAAAGGCAGAAACAATCCTGAAAAAATAATCTCTACAAAACAATGATGACCTGTCGTACTCCAGTGCATTCTTCATCATCACCAGTGTTGAAAACATCCGTACAATAAAAAACAATACAAAATACATAATTCTTTTTAAAATGTGGTGTAGAAAAAAAAGACAAAAAAAACCAATGTGGCCCTGCCAACAATGTAATCTCAATGGAATGAAATGAAAACAATATCACAAAGTTGAAGGACAGAATCATTTACCCTTCATTTATTTATGGTTTTGGTATATGTGTTTTTGGACGCTAGTAGCGGCAGTACAAAACCTTTACATACAAATGTGTCCCTGTATGCCACTTTAATATCCCATTACTGCCCACGGAGAAGTATTATTACCAAAAACATAACTGGGAGAAATAAAAGGAATCTGATTAAAGCAAGGCCCTGGCTATCATGCAATAATCGTCCATGCAGAACTTCGCCATGTCTACTCTCTAAATAATCAAATACTACTGTATGCAATGCAACAAAGAACAAAACAAATCTTTGTCTTGCATCCGGACTGACCTCATTTTTGTCCACAAAGAGCACACATGATCGTCAAACAGATTTCTCAAACCTTCTCTGTTTCAGTTGGGGCTGATGCATCTGTGTTTGGCCCTTGGATGTCTTTATCACTCCGGTTTGTGACCCCAAGGCTGTGTTTGTGTTCAGCAGTGCAGCATACACAGGAGGCGGAGGTAATCATGTGGGTAACCTCTCAGCTTCGTCTACACGGAGCACAAGAATGAAAACAGGAAGAGCATTTTTTGTATCCAGTGAGATTTGTTTTGTATTTGAGATTTGCGAGATGGATGATGCAGCAAATTTCCTTCAAAGTGATTGATTGTCTGACCTGTTGGCGAGGGTGTATTGTCCTCCCCTGGCGCAGTAAACTGTAGATCGGGGCTCAGAGCAGCGATGGAGCTCCTGGGACGGACGCAACGGTCACCTGAGAAACTTCTGCGGAGTAACGCCTGAAGCAAGACGTGTGAGACTAGTTAGGGTTATACGTCTTAATGGCAGAATATAAGGGCCTATGCCCAAAAAAGGTTGGCACCACTGATCTGGTTTTTATTTTATATCCAATTAGATTCTGCATCTTGAAACTTTGCAATAAAAAAGAACTGCAATAAAGGAAGGTGGGTTGTACAGTATATGTAAACCTAAAGAAGTATTTATATTTGAAGATGCAATAACTTAACAAAAAAGGGGGACAGTGACAAAGAAAATAATATATATATATATATATATATATATATATATATATATATATATGACAAAATAACATACTTAAAACATTTTCCTGTCTAAGTATTTTTTTTTCAACCGACAAAACTTTTCCGGCTGATCCACAGATGAAAAAAACCATTTAAGTAACTAATAAAGATTATCATAGCAAACATTTTTGTCACCTGTTCTTAAGTCATAAACACAGGGTAAAAAGCTATGTAGACAAGACTTACAAAATAAGTCGGTACGATATTTTTACTTATTTGTCAGCCTCAGGGCTTCCGTACATTTGCTAGTTAAGTCCCCAAATCTTACAATGATAAATATTAAAAGTATGCTTATGGTCAAAACAATGTCTCAGAAGGAAGGTGATGTTTTGATATCAAAATACCACATGTAGGAGCTGGATAAATGACAGGAAGTAGCGGTTGGCTTGCCTTGCGTGTCAGGGGGCTGGTGGGGGCCGAGGCGCTGCTGTAGAGGCTGAGGCTGGAGTTGGACCTGCTGACAGTCAAACCCTTAGAAGTGCTTCCTCCAGGAGACAAGTACTTCTCCTTGATCTTCAGGTTGGTCCTGCCTTTCACTGTTGGCGACACAGCAGGGAGATTTAACAGGATGCAGCCACTCTCATTCCAACAGCAAAACCTCTATATAAAAACTAACTATAGACGTCATGGAACACGCTGACATGTTTGAGCAGTTTTTATTATGCACTCTAATCATCTAAAAATTCTACAACTATACTGTAAAATAGCATGGCACCAACGTAAAATAACAACCTAAGACAAAAGCTGGATGTCTTGATATATTTGTAAAAAATGTATCTGATACCAAAAAGGTCTTAGGTTATGATCTGTTGTATGTGTGGAGAATAGATTGTCCCGCCCCCCATTTGTTTTCCTAAATGCTGTTTGAGGCTTCAGGTTTGGCACTTTTGCCATCACCATCTTGGTTGTTGGTAGCAAGAAGTGACTATATTTGGATAAGAGGGTAAAGCTATAGGTGGGGAAATGCACTGCTACTCCTCTGTTCTGACTCAAAGTTTGCGGTATTAGCAACTTGTCAATCACAAGGAGGCCCTGTCCTAAAGCATAGCCTGCTTCAACATCTGTTTTAGTCTAAACAGGACCATCATTTACCAAATGAACATCATGCTGTATTGAAGAGTACTTGAAACCAGTTATCGAGACAGTAAACTTATAAGGAACATATTTAATGTGGTAATAAATCATGTGAATCAAGTTTTCAACGACTGCTATATAATCAGATTCTTTTTCGTAACCAGTGATGTCGCCCCCTGTTGGCCATTGAAAAGATTGCAAAGTTAAGACCTTTCCGCAGTGGCTTTACTTTTCCGTCACAGAGGCTATGTCCATTGGAGCAGTTAGTATCACTTTTAGTCAAGCCAGGTGCTGACGACTTGTCAAATAGCAGTATAATATGAAATATAGTTTGCAAAAATAATTGGATTGGGAAGAAAAAAACATGTTCTTGCTTATATTCAGAATTTAGCAGCTTGTTTCAAATGTATTTGTGTATGGATGTTGCAACTGTACAGAGCTTTGGCAAAACTGTATGTAATTATGGTCATGCTAATGAAGCTATTGAATTGAATTGAGTGGTGTACTGACCTCTGCAGGGGTCATTCTTGACCAGGAACTCATCTAGAGCCGTCCAGCCCCCTCCCACCCTGACCATCAGTGTGCTACGCAGGATACGAACCATCCGCAACTGTTGGGATTCTCCAAACTGCAAATGAAAACATATTGTTAGTTACAGTTTTGGAAGCAGTTGTGGCCCTAGCATCTCATGTATTTGAATCATTGTCCTTTAAAAAATACTCACCCTGTATCTATTGGCACTTATTTGCTCCACTTGGAATCTCTTTGGACAGTTACACTGTGATACCTGTCGACTCACCTAAAGAGGGCAAAAGTACAGTGCCACAATAAATAAAACACTGTAACAAATCACGTGAATGTTTGTGTTTTCTTGTGTTTTAAATTGTTCATACCTCTTCATTGATTTGATCTGCATCTAGTGTTCTCCTGTAGGGATCTCTGCTCGGGTGAAGCGCACTCACAAACTCATAGTAGTCAATGAAGCCGTCACTGTTCACGTCGAAGATGTGTGCCACTGCGTGCATCTCCAGAGAGTTGGTGGGAAATTCTACATGTGGAGGAAGAGATTATTTTATTACATAGATATGTCAAAGCAAAATTTGACTATAACACTGATAGTATAAAAAAAATCCTTTGTAACAGAATTATTTAAAAACTCAGAATGTTCTTATTAAATAATGTTAATAGGCTGGAATACTGTTAAATGGCGTTTAAATCAGTATTATATCAAAATATAGATACAAAATATGTCTATACAATGAATAACTAGGACAATGAACAAAATCCTGAAATACACAAATAAGGAAATAAATACAACAACAATTTAATAAATCAGTAAGAAATTATAATAATAATAATTAAATGTGGAATCATGGGAGAAAAGTACTCTCAAATAAATCAAAGGAGACTTTTGGAAACATCCTAAACATTTTTCTTTTATATTTATACAAAAATAAAAGTTTTCAATGGACTCCTTTAAATATTTGTATTTGCATGTATTTATATATTTCTGCCATATTTATTTATTTAATAGACTTATTCTTGGATTAATGTGTTAATTTAATATTGACTTGAATGGCATTCCCTAGGGTTCATGTATCAGCACGCTATCACTTTTTAAACTAATGTATTTTTAAACGTTATGTTAACTTCATGGGTCAAAACACTGCAGTGTACTGTACTGATGTATTACAATGAGTCTTACTAGAGTTAAGGACGTAATCAGCAAACTCCTTCTGGCTGATGCGTCCGTCCTCGTCCCGGTCGATGCTGCGGAACACGTCTAAGATCCGTGACTTCAGATGACTGATCCACAGCATGTAGCGCTTTCGCCAAATATTGAAGTCAAAGTTCGCAAATTCTTCCATCTGTCAAGAATTGGAAAACATTTTACAGAAATGAAATTCAAAGTAGTTTTCCTTTACTATAATGTGTACATTATACTGTAACTACAATAACCTCTTTGAGAGTTTGCTGTTGTTGCTCCAGGCGGGTTTGTCGGGCCACAGCCAGGAGCCACAGTTTCTGCCACTGACTGACCAGCTGACTGAGCTCTGGGGTCTGGGGGTCCAGGTGCTCCAGGGGGATCGGTACGACAGGCTGCAGCTTCAGAGTGCTCCTCCTCTCTGGATGGAGAAAAAGCAACATGGGAGTCTGGAATCAGCTCAGGCAACTAATTTCAATGGCAGGGAGATAAAGACAATAATGGCTTTATATTACAGAATGTAAATATAAAGTTTTCTTTATTAGGCTTACTTGTGATTGGTCGTTTGCTAGGGGAAATCTGCAGTTTGGTAATGCTCTTGTGTTTACAGGCCTTTGTGGCATGTTCAACCTCTGGGAACTTCTTATTCAACTCCTCCATGAAAACCTGCAGAGATGAAGGATCAGTGATAACGTGGTACATCAAAGATGCTTCTGGACCCCCGCTGTCTCACGGAGAGATACCGCAGGTCCTTCCTTCCTGCAGCGGTCAGACTATGCAACCAGCACAGCTCTGTTTTCTCCCAGTATAAAACCCCTAACACACAACAACACGGACTCTATAACACCCCTTGCTGTTAAATACCAACCAACTATGCGCAATACGTGCTATATGTATGCCGTTAATAACTGTGCAATATATACCTGGCTGCTAAACCCTAAGAACTGTTACAGGATGTGTATTTTGTAAATTGTGTAACTTTTTATTTGTATAATATTTTAGCTTTAATACTTGTTAATGCATGTAACATATGTAACATATATAACATTAAGCTGTCTGTGGCTCATTTTCTGCTGTAACAACGTAAATGTCCCCTCTGTGGGACTAATAAAGGCATTCTGATTCTGATTCTGAAGTTCTCTCAACAGGGTGAGGTATAATGAAATGTACAATGTTATAGAAATCACATCAGTTTTATATTCATATCGTACCACGTGCTGCTCGATCAGTTCTTGGTTCTGCTGGCAGGTCTCAGGCGGAGGCTCTTGGTCTCTGAGGGTGAGGGCTTCCTCTGCGGAGGAGATCCAGTCCAGCAGCCTCTGCAGCTCCTCTCTTTCTGCCTGCAGCGCTGACAGAGTGGCCTGGATCTTCTGGCCCTGCTGCTGAGCCCAGGTCTGAACCTGATTCAGAAGACATGGAGGAGTTACACTAGATCCGTTCAGATGCTCAAAGGCACTGTTTTAAAATTAAGATATTAAAGTGGACCTATTATGCTATATTTGAAAAATATATTATAGGGCCATACCTATACAAAACATGTCTGTGAAGTTTTTTGCTTAAAATACCAAACAGATCACCCATTGTAGCCATGCCTCATACTGCTCATACCCCTCGTTTGCAGCCCTGTTCCAAACAGGCTGATTCTGCTTTAAATGAAACTGGAAGAGATTTCTACCGGGAGACCTCAGCTAAACGCTGCGGTGATTAAATGCCATGTTATGCTCCTAACCACTTCAAGCTTTATTTCTGAAACAGTATGGAGCTCAAACCTTTCTCTCTCGCAGGGTTTATGTGTACGACATTATGTTACACACATATTCGGTACCACTTTACAATAAGACTACCCTTATAAAGGGTTTACGAATAGTTTGTAATCCATTTATTAATTAGGTTGTGAACACTTTATTAATCATGAATAAGCTTTTATAAGACATGAGATAAACAGGGCAACTGTGACCGGATGCTTGCCAAATAGTGAGCCCACATTTATCTGTACTGCTACAGTAAGTCTTATATTGGCTACTTAGCTTACTTTGTCTTCTTCATCAGCCAGCATCCTTGGTATCTGTTGCTCACTGAGTTGATTCTCGCTAAGTAGCCAATATAAGGCTTAGTCATCTTGCCAAATAGTGAGCCCACATTCATCTGTACTGCTAAGCCTTATATTGGCTACTTAGCTTACTTCGTCTCCTTCATAAACCAGCATCCTTGGTATCTGTTGAGTTGATTCTCGCTAAGTAGCCAATATAAGGCTTAGTCATCTTGCCAAATAGTGAGCCTGTGTTGATGCATGCAAACTATGTTAGAACTGGTTTATAAATGGTTCTTAATGATTAATAAAGTGTTTACAACCTAATTCATAACCTAATTATAAACCCTTTATGAATCCTTTATAAGGGTAGTCTTATTGTAAAGTGGTACCACATATTCTCTCCAGTAGCCTACAGCGTTAGCTCCATGGTTAGCTCTGAGTGTTAGCATGCTTGCTAATGTAAACACACAGCATATAACTCCCAAAACACGCCGCGGCTTTAGAAAAAGCTTGCCGGCGGGCGTGTCTGAAGCTCGACCAACAACAAATCACATGAATCTCCCGCCCCTGAGACACAAGCAGCAGTTTGATTGGCTAGAGCTTGTACTGGCATATGATTTGATTGGCTGACGCTTCCACCGAAAGCTTCAGAAGCTTCAAAAGTTGAACATTGCTCAACTTTTGAAGCCTGAGATGCCTGGAAAGCTCCACTCTGCTTCCCACAATGCAGTTCGGCGAAAAGTGAGGCAAAGTGACGTCACCCCATTCAAAGTGAATGGGCAGAAGCGTTGGAAGATTTTTTTAACGCTGCTGTGTGGACGTACCGTAAACCCAAAGCAGAAGAAGACGAAGTGGCATCAGCGGCTCATTTGCGTAATCTTCCCTCAGGGAACTTATTCCGGTGTGAACGCGATCTGTACTAAGTGCCCTGGGGTAATAAGTGCCGGGGCACTAAGTGCCGGGGCACTAAGTGCCGGCACTAAGTACGGCAAAGTACTTGGTGTGAACGCGGCTATTGTTACAGATTACAGGTACTGAGACAAGGAAATGCAGTTTAGCTTCTAACCAGGAGTGCAAAAAGCAGTAAAGTGTACAGAATAAAATATAGAATGAATTGAATGATGAATAAACAGTGAGATATACACAGCTATGAGCAGTATGAACAGTATAAACAGTGTGTATGAATATGCTACGATATATAAAGTATGAAAATGGTAAGCAGTGCAAGTATAGTATAAAATATATACGGGGCCGTCCCTGCCCAACTTGAGGCCCCACGCAAAGTTATATGAGGCCCTCTGTTTCGCGAGCATCGACGGGCGGGGGAGGGCGGTGCTAGACAGACACAGACACACAGCTGCAACTGTATACGGAGACGATAGGTTGGGACGTGTCACGTGTGCCGGAGATGATAGGTTGGGACGTGTCACGTGTGCCGGAGACAATAGGTTGGGACGTGTCACGTCGGCCGGGTGTTGCCAATGACGTTATAGGAGTGAAAATTCTGGATCTGCTTGTTAGCACCCCCTTTTTTTTTTTTTAGATGTGGGTACGAAGGAAAAGAGAGAGGGTTTTGTTTTCTGACACTTTGTGAGTTCCCTGACACACCGGGGATACATCTTTATGTATAAAAGACAACAAAAAGTGCATTTTGCATAATAGGTCCCCTTTAAGGTATTCAAACAGTGTCCCTTGAGCTATTTTCACGTGATCAGAGTTAGAACAACTCAATAATGGCAGTGTTTTCCTATGGAGAGAGCGGTGCCATCCCACTTGGCCGTGAGCTACCATCTGTTCCAAAGCGAATTATAACATCTTCTCTTTTCATGGCAAAGGATCGAAATTTGCTGCCATTCAACGCAGATTAAAAATGTCCACTATGAAGCTTCCCTCACGTCTTGAGGCTATTCCAACCCAGTCTCACGGCATTTCGTGTTATAGTCACGACATTTAATCTATTGATTCGTGTTCACCAACAAGTTTTTCCCCTTTTTTTCGTGTCACACAGAACGATTTTAAAAGCAATCTATTTCTATTGGTACAGTAGTGTGTTTCGTGCCTGCATCACGTCTTTTTGTCCGGTCGGGTCTTGGAAGACCGGAAGCTGTGTGGTTCATAAAAACATGTTCTTTACATATACAGTCTATGGTTCTTACTCAATATCAAGCCACGATTACTGTTTTTAAATTGTATAATGTCGGACTCTTTTTGCCATCAGTGAGGAAAAGAAATGGGGCTCAGAGCCTCAGAATACTGAAATCTGTATTTTTTTAAATCTTTTTTTCCTTCTAATTTGTTATTCTTTTCTAAATAACACACTGTTATTTACTCATCAATAACACACAATTATCCTTGTTTTTATTTATTTGTTTAATTCCATAATCTCTGGCTTTTTTGGCGTCCGTCAGGAACTGAATTTCAAAATAAAAATAACCGGAAACAGATACACAGCCACTGAACTGATTACCCAAGAGATCCTCAGCTATGGTTTAAGCTCGGTGATTGGATTGTTTAGCCGCAATGCACGTTGGGATATGGTGTTTATGCGATATGAAATCCGAAAAACATTTAAAAAAAAGAAAATAATACTTTATTCCGAGTGTGCTTGCTTTTCTCTTTGAAAGTCATCACATAACGGCATTGTAATACACGGTTAGGCTGCATTAAATATTACACATCTGCCGTAGTTCTTTATTTATAGAGCCCTGATTAGAAGACTTCTAGACAAACAGGAAGCACTGCCGCCAAAACTGAAAACGTGACGTGGATCATAAATATATCAGCAATTAAACAACATCTTCAATTTCTCTTCACACAATACGTCTCCTTGCAGTATCAATACTAATTCTGCTGACTTTTATATTTGATCCAATTGGTAGATAGGTTATATTTACACCATAACGGTGCACAGCTGATAGAAAAGGACTTGTGGTTTTTAAAGATATTACTGATTTTCTTTGAATATAAGAATGTAAATACTGAGTTGAAAGAATAGTCAGGGGTTTTTGGGTGATGGAAGACACATCTATGGAATCACAATTTCAATAGCTTACCATTAAATGACGGATATACCTTTCTGTCTGTTTTACAAATCAGATATTAATGTGTAGAAGTCAAACATGTGAAATAATATAGTAATATGCTGTAAATCTATGTGAAAACATGAATAAAACTACACATCTTCAGATGTTATACATACATAAGTGTCCTACACTAATAATAAAAAGTTATTATGGCTGTGTGTACCTTGTGTGCACCGCCTAGTGGTTAAAGCACGTTATTGAATTATTGTTTTAATGTGTTATATTCGATGAAAAAAATATTAAGAGTACATACAAAATAGGGGGAAAGTAGAAGGTCAATGATAGAAATATAGAATATAAAAAATCAAGAAGATACTGTAAGTGATCTCTACAATAAAACAGTTTAGTGCCGGATGTACAAAGATATTAATAGGAGGATGTGCAAAACAGAAAAACAAATTAACCTTTATTTAAACATTAAATAATACTTTAGATTAAGGTCTTCTTTTAAATAAGAAAACAGCTTTGGGGGTATCTACAGACAAAACATACTACCAATAGAAACACATTGCTTTTAAAATCGTTCTGTGTGAGACGAAAAAAAAAGGGAAAATCGTGTTGGTGAACACGAATCAATAGATTAAATGTCGTGACTATAACACGAAATGCCGTGAGACTGGGTTGGCTATTCTGACCAAATGTCAGAAACATCTGAATAATGTGTTAGGAGGATTATATGCCAAACATTGCAAAAATAAATAAAATGGATGACTTCCTTTTAGGTTTACAGAGAAAGACTTTCCACTAAGACACCAAGATACTTTTTTGTCTCTGGTTCATGCTACATATGCCTACCAAATGTCAGACTTGTATGTGAAATAACAACGAGAGGCTGCTTTTTAGCACATTTGTAGGGGGCGCTATTGAGCTGTTTTGCTTGCCGTGATAAAGAGACCCCTACAATATAACATTTGTAATTAGTCCTGACAAGTGTGCGAAAGGTCTCCAGCTTCTAAGCATGTTAAGGCCCTCACAAATGTAATTCATCTTGTGTACGATATAATAAAAACCCTAGCAATATCAATAGGTCCTCCGCTCCAACTCTGTCTGCACTTGGGCCCTAATTAAAGCCAGAAATGGCCATAGTGAGGCACCAGGGTTAATCACTAAGAAAAGCTTGCTATTGCCTGTCTAGAAAGTGCTCACCTCCTCATAGCGGTTCTTGGTGACACTGATCCAGGACTTTAGGGTGATGATGGAGTCTGGGTGACAGGAGGCCAGGATCTCCTCACCCAGACTCTGGATGTTCTGTAGGTCCACCCCCTGAGCCTGCAAGACCCCCATTGATTCCTTCAGAGGGGGAGAAAAAGCATTAAGTCAGGATTTGATTCACATTTACATCATGCATTTTAAACATGTTCATATATCACTATCTTTTAGAAGTGTTGAACAGTTTATGGCAGCAGGATACTAACTGATGGTCGTTGGGTTCGTTCTTTAACTGGTTCAATGGGTTCACACATAAGTTAGCAAATAGCCCCCCCGCTAAACAACCCCTTGATCCTTATCAGCACCAACTTGTTGTTTTGTAGATTTTAAGACCCTGACCTATGACCTCCCCTGCAGCAAAAATGTATTCCCCTGTAGGAGTTATAAAGTCTCATGTGATACTGACCTCGTGTTGTTTGTCGAAAGCGAGCATGCCCTCTTCCTCCTCTGGTATAACTCCAAACTTCAGGACCCTCTCGACCTCCGTGAGGCTCCCCATGAAAGAGTGCACGAGGCTGTCAAACTTTTCAGCCTAACGAAGACAACAACAGATGACGATTAGGATAAGAGTAGGGTAAATCCTGTTTAAGGTCAAATATTAGTTATCCTTTCCTGTTATGCACTGCAGAAAAACTTGATGAAGCTTGTTTTAAGATACTTTCCATTCTTGCATGGTTAGCAAATCTTAAAATGATGTATTTTAAAAACAAATTCAGCTAAATAACTGTCAAAGACACTGATTTCAGCTGCATTGCCTCTTTACAAAAAGTTATTTTTAGCTGTAAGAATTTATTTATTTAAAAAGTGAAATTGTGAAATTAACACAACAATTCCCAAAGAAAACCAAATAGCTTTTTTCATCTTATTTCAAGACATTTGTCAACTTTTCTAGCATCCAGATAACTTCTTTATTTCACATTTTACTTTTTTTTGCTTTAAGGTGAATTTCTTTTTTGCATAGTACATTTTTCCCTGCAGCCAGAATTGTAAGCATGTTGGTATTTTCATGTGGAGACTTGTCATTTGCCATGTTTAAGACGATTTCAGTGTAGTAAAATTCTGATTGAAACCCAAATGAAAATAAAACAATATTTTATTGTGACCTTAGTTTATGGTAAGAACTACCTGCTGAAGTGCCGCCTCCAGTCGGTCCTGCTTGCTGACGGACAGTTTGCACACGGCCTCCCAGCGGCCCTCCAGCTCGTCCATCTGCTGCTGCAGCCAGTGAGCGTCGGCCGTGCTGCTCCGGGTGAGATCCCTCACAGAACGCTTCAGGGTCCGGATGCACCCGGCTCGCTTGCCTAATTCTTTTTGGAAGGCCTACGAGAAAGGACACTTTGCTAAGAGACTGCAATTGTGAAGAAGCTGGCGCAAAATGTGCCATGCAAAGGCAGACATATAGCATCCTAATATCAAAAGAAATTAGGAAAATCACTGTAAACAAATATGACAATCACCAAAGCCTTCATTGTGATTATGAGCTTATTTTCTTTTTATAGCAGTTACTGTATACCAATGTCCTAAGCAGCCATCACTGGAATCTAATTGAACAAAGATAATATAATAATTACATATTATGCAGTATCTGTACACTGTACTATGTTTGCCAATGTGTTTAACTATTAAGGCCTGAAATGAATTTACATGCTACTGTGGGTGTTTTACCTTGTGTTTGTCGATCAGGTTGTGGACCATGTCTTTGTCTCCCCCAACAGGAACATCCTCAGCCAGTTGAGGCTCCGCTCTGTACAGCCAGTCATTCAGAGCCTGGAGAGCGTCAGTGAATCTCCCTGAGAACAGCAGAGCTTCCTCCAGCTTGTGTTGTCTGCAAAAGCAAATTAACTAGGGGGTTATATTCCATGAAAAAACTCAATATTTCCTGATTAACTCGTTAAGTAACGACTAAAACAAATGTGGATATTCACTGAGATGTGGTAAGTTAAAGAGAAATGAAATCATATGTTTAAATGAAGACATTATATAAATTAACAAGAAGAAAATGATACATGTACTAGAAAAAAATATCATAAATACACATACATTTTTTTAATAAATAAACAATGAAGAAAATATGTATTATGTAAACAAATATATAATAATAATTCCAAGAAAAAATCTAAGATTTACAAAATAAATTATGCATTTACGAGAAACCAGTCATAAATGTATATATTTACAAAATGAAACCACTGAAACAATGTGTTATTTTGTCAAGAAACCCCTTGTGCTAATTTGACAGGTTGGATTGACCTTATCTTAATCTTAGAGAATATACATTTATTTCACCTATAGCCAAAGAAATATGCTTAATAAAACCGTATTAACTTGTAATGGGTTCCTATCAGTTGGTATACAGCTAATGTTCCATACCTCTCCATAGTCTTGCCACTGATGGTGTCCCAGGTGTCTTTTAGTTCAGCCAGTAGATTCTCCACATGCTGTCTATCATAGCCAGTCCGAGCTCTCTCATGAAGGCTGCGTCCATTCCTCATGGTCGCCTCGTACATGGGCCTCTTGGACCTCAGCAGTTTCTGGAACTCCTGATTATAAAGAATAAGAGATCTGTCAAGTGATCATAAACATGTAAAACCAAGTTCAATGCATCGTTTGGTTTACTGCACCTTCTGTTCTGTCAGTTGTTGTTTAATCTCTTCGTGGGTCACAGCGATCTCTCGATGCGTGTCCAAAATCTGCTCCACCTCCGTCATCCAGTCCACTAGCAGGCGCCATGATTCATTAAACTAAAATATGAAAAATAAAGACAGATACTAAACAAAAGTTCCTCTGAGTGGCACCTAAAGTCCATGTTTAGTTTGAGGTCATCCGTCTTAAGTGAAGTGTACATGGTGTTATACCTGTTTGGCATTCTTTTTGACCTCCTCCAGTGTTTTGCCTCTTTCTGAAGCGCGTTGTTGGAGCTTCTTGTATCGATCCTGGACGGTCATGATTAGGTTATGAATGACGTCACAGTCCTCCTTCCTGCTCAGTTCTAGTAGCCTGCGGGCCGTGTTCTCCACTGTGGTCTTCTTCTCACCGTAACCGTTCACCTCGTTCAGCAGGGTCTGTGCAAATAAAAACCAGAAAATGAATACAGAAACTTTCTGTAACTCTGGATCTGGATCAGAAATAGAATAATTGAAGAAGGACTTACTTTGTGCTCCTGAAGTTGAGTACACACTTTATCCAGAACAAAGCTGGGAGCAGGAAGAAGCCCGATGGACTCTTCACACTTGCTCATCTTGGTGAGAAGTTCCTGGATGTTACTGTGGAAGTCCTTGGCCAGACCCAATCCTTCTGTAAGCCTTGCCTGAGGGAACATAATGACGCTATCAGATGTAATAACGCACAAAATGAGTGATAAATCCACAAGAGGAAGGGTTGACTTACCTTTCGCTCGTGGACCTTGCTGTAAACAGATGCCCACTTCTGTTCCAGAATAGATAAGCTGTGTTCGGTGCTCGATCCCCGCATCACGCTGCTGCTCTCCAGCATCCTGTGGATGGCGTTCTTCACGTCAGTGTAGGCGTGGAGCTTTGAATCCATCTCAGTGCACAGCTCCTTTTGAGGGCGAGAAGAAGGACAATCGGTTTTATTATTTATTTTCCAGGGAAACAGATTTTTCTCGTATCTCTTTTAGAGTTTATAGTCTGGTTCTTTTTACCATGTGTGCACTGAGCCTTTCACTGGCAGAGTCCGGCATACCCCACATGGTTTTAGAGGAGGACAGTCTCAGGTCTGTGTTCTCCAGCCACTGCAGGAGATCTTGAATCTCCATTGTAACATCTTGTACCTGCAAAACATTGAAAAAAAAAAATGAATGCACATATCAGGTTACTAAAGCCTGATATAAGAATACTAATAATATGATTGCTGTATTTGTATCAGCCCAAAGTGCTAATAGTGATTAAACAAATATCAAAACAATAAAAAGTAATAGCAATGTTTACAGAAGAAGAGAAAAAAGGAAAACAAATATAACACCATTTTATTTTTTAACTACCTTTCTTTATGACCACCAGTTTAAATTCGGACTCTAATGTAGATGTTACCCTACTATCACCACAAGGGGGCGCCATGATAAACTGAGTGAATTGAATGAAACAGTAAATGCAGTACAGCTGAGACATACTATAAGATAACGTAAGAGTTTACTGTATACGTACTGTTCCTATTTGTCTATACTTTTGTGTGACTATTGTTAGAATGTGTAACAAATAACAGATGTGTGTTTCTCGCCACCTGACTCAGTCTGTTCTCTAACTCCAGCTGCCTGCGCTCAGTCTCACAGCGGACAAACTCCCAGCTCTCGTTGAGTTGCTCCAGCCGAGACTGCAGACCATGTGGGCTGTCCCCTGACCCGACCTCCAGCAGCCCCCTGCCAGCCTGGTTCAGGGACTCCACTGTGCGGACATGGGACATGACATCATTATGCAAGACCTGTAGGAGAAAGAATACAAAGAGTAAGATTGAAAATGATTGCTTGGAAGTGATTGGCTGTTTAGAAAAGGCATGTTTGTGAGAGGGTACTAGCAGTATGTATTGTTGGTAATAATAATAATGCATAAGGTACAGACACTGGTAGACACCATGTCAACCATTTTCAGGAGACTATAGGAATATAGCATACATTTCAGGAGGGTGGGTTTTTAGTTTTCAAATGTTGGACGTTTTGTCACGTCTTTGTTCATGTTTGCTCTATGGATCATATACATGCCCATTTCCTTGTTCCAGTACGGTCATTTGTGCTGTATTACAAAATGTGTTTGATGCAATTTATCAATAACAATGTTGTAGCTAATCATTGACATTTTGTAAAAAAAAACACTGGCATTTACAGTGTTACAATTCTTAAAATGAATAAATATTTGGAAGTTATCATCAGGACTGATGTCTATTGAGAAATATAACTAAATGAAAGTGACAATATATTATATATTGTATTTCCATGGCATGGGAATGTTTTTTATTTTGTATTAGCCACCCCACAAGATTAAACTGCATCAAACTCAGTTGTTGTTAATAATTGTCATACTGTCTCTGAAGACAGTACAATAAATACAAAAAACCCTAGCATTTAGTAAACAGAAAATAATGCAATTAAACAAAATAAAAATGTAGCCACAGGGGTTAAGAGTTGTAGGATTCACTGCTCTCTGAGACCTTAAGAGTCAGAAAGAGCTCCATTACACTTAGTATTAAATATAGTATTTAAGCCACCAACCTTGTGTTTAGCCAGCTCTATTTCACAGGCCTGAAGGTCGATGCTGATTGGTCGGTTGCCCTGCAGTTGCTCAGCAGTGCGGGACAGCCATGTGTGCAGCTCATCCAGCGTGTTTTGGAACTGACCCAGACCCAGCAGCGCACACTCCAGCTGATGCTAATTTTTACACAGATGAAAGCAAGACAAATAAAAAAAGTGAATAACTTTCTTTACTTTGATTTACTTTTCAGGGTAAATGCAGGTGACACTGTGCTATAAGTGACTTCCAGTGACATTATTATCAATATTACATGATATATGCTTCCATGTTCTCACCTGTCTGCTGACGGTCTCTGACTCCAGGCTGTCCCAGCGCTGTCTGAAGTCACACAGCGGCGAGACAGAGCCCGGACGCTCCGAGCCTGGAGACAGGCGGCACACAAAGCGATGGTTCAGGCTTTCTATCTCGATTTTCTTCTGGTAAAGTTCTCGCTTGAATTCCTGAGGAAAAAGAAGAAATTAGAAATTAGACATTGCCATAACTAATGTGTTTTCTGTTATCAGAAATAATGACCTACATAGCCAGAAGCAATGTTTATGTATATATAAAACCTAGTAAGAACAACCTTGAAAGGTTTAGGGGTGTACTACAGCACTTGAACTCACCTTGAGGTCACGTAGCTGCTCTTTGACTGATTCCAGATCATTTCCAACCATGAACTCTTCTGTAGACCTCAGCTCAGCTGACTTCAACCACTCAAAAAGACCCTTTAAGCAGGACAAAAACAGCAGGCTTTTAATTACAACAAATGTTATACCGTTAACCACTCAGTGCTCAAAGAAACAAAAAAGAAGATAAATATGTACCAACATAACTTACATCTTGTCTGAATGAGTAGGATTTGTATATTAAATGTAGCTGGGCAGGGTGAACCTAAGTCTTGGAGAGTAGTAGCTAAAAGCTACATTTGTTCCCTTATAACTGAATTTTTGCTGAATTGTATGATTTCATAATCGAACAACAGCAACATTAGTTGCCATGTTACTATATACAGTTGGATGCATTTTAAATAGATCTTGTTTGCATTGTCTTACACCATTCCCACCATTAATATCATTTTCCTTGACAGAGGACCACATCATTTGTAAGTCACTCAAAGTAAAGCTACAGGGGGTAAGAGTCTATTGTCCTAATAAAAGACTAGCTTGGTCTTTGGCAGGATGCCAAAACACTGCTTCTGTTGGGCATGGGTGGCCAACATGATCAGACCATGACATTTTTGTTAGTATATGGGTAGGCTTATACAATATAGATATGTTGTATATTCCCTCACCTGCATGGTGTCTTGATAATGCAGTGCCATCTGCAAAGACTCCTCCAGCTTTTTGTGACATTCGTTCCATAGTTTGCTCAAGTTGTTCCAAGTGCAATAAAGCTAGAAGACACCAAAGAAACAAGGTTTTAAGTCAGTCAACAAAGCATCATGAGTTTGAAATTATTTGTATTTAAATGTAGCCTATATCTTACTTCATCTAGGCTCTTTGTGACATCTGGTTTGTCAGTATCTCCACATGCTGACATCAGGTCCATTCCCAAAACACCAAGGGTGTCCAGATCTCCCTGTAAACTGTCAATGTCCTCTCTGAGAGTCTATAAGTTGAAAAGATTGAAAAGTTTAATATTTTATAAAATAATATTTTTGTTTCTTATATTTGTTAAAGTTAGAGCTAACGGACAAACCTGCATGGTTTCAAGGCTCTGTCGGATTGTTTCTGATTCTCTCCGACTGGCATTAAGATCTAAAACTGCCTGCTGAGCGTCATTAAGCGCTGCCGTGACATCGCTGATGTCGCTCCAGAACTTCATGGCGAGATCCAAGAGTTTGAGCAGCCAGCTTTCTCTCTCCTGGGCCTGAGTATGTGTGTCATCCCAAAGCTGGGAGAGGCTGGACACGCGCTCCTGGATTGCTAAGATCACAAGGATATAACAGGAATTTTCTTTAGAATCTGCCTTTTTCTTGCATAACCAATGCTACTTTTAGTCCATTGTGTACCAGGACAGTATCATATGAGGAAACCCTGAGAGGCAAGTACGATAAAATAAATTATGGTGATACATTGTTTTGATACATTTTTTGTGTAAAATCTGATCTAAATTGTTCTTTCTCCCGTGCTGATGACTTAAAAGAAGACGATCATTTCAAGTTCCTTGATTATTATTTTTGCATTAAAAAAATGTTTTTCTTGCCAGGTGAGTTGTTGTTTTTTCTGTCAAGAAAATGTATCTTGTTTGATGTTGTAATACTCATTTTGTACCACAAGAAGCTCAAATGCACCAATGTACTATATAGGACCAAAAACATTCATGTTTTCTATCATTTAAGTTTGAGATTCTCCATGCACTCCAAACACAAGGTATATTTATTTAAAATTCAAATAAAAGACGTGACATTAATGTTACATGTTCACACCAAATGTTTGTTAAAAATGCATTGAGAAATTCTAAACTTACCTAGAAGAAAACATGAGTAGTAATAATTTGTATAATGGGGTAGTGGTGCTCTTCAGCCTCGTGTGGCTAAAATCAGTATTACAACAATAAATACATTTCATATTACAGATTTTTAAATAGTAAAGGAAAAAAGTATTCTGGTAAAACTTTATTTTTTCCTAAACTTTTTTCCCGTTTGGTAAAAAAAGAAAATGGCCTGGCAAAACCTTTTATTCAACCTGAGTTTAAATAATAAACACAAAAGAGAAACAATTTCAATCAGACTTTGAAAAAAGATCACCAATATCATTATTTTCACAATTGCTCTCTTTGGCTTCCATACAATCTGTATACAAACAATATCAATTCTTAGGAGATCATTACCTGTGCCCACAGATCCATCCCCAGCTGCCTGAGTGTTAGCCAGCAGTTCGTCGGCCTGTGTCCTGACGCTGCCCAGGCCCAGCTGCAGCTTGGACAGCTCGCCCAGGCTGTGCTTGTTGTCCTGCAGCTGCTCCTGGATCCTGGGGGTGAGGCCCTGAAGAGAGGTGACCGTCTCTATGCGACTGTGCAGGCGCTCAAGACTCTCTCTGATGAGGGTCATCCTCTCATTCAGCTATAGATACAAAAAAATACATGATGTTTAGTTTTTGTTGTGTATTTGTAGTGTATTACTAGTGTTAACATTAGCATTTGCTTCATCATCCAAGCATTACGTGTTAGTTTTGTGACAAAATATTATATATATTCTTATTCCTGTGTCAAATGTCTTGTTAGTTGTTTTTCTTTAACATTCTGTTTTAATTTACTAAAAGTCTGGACAATTTGGTATAATGTTAGTCAAATAAAATGTAACTATTTTAGTAGCAAGTCAATGAAATCCTGTCATATTAGTCCTTTTGTCATGAAATTGTATTAAAAATGTCAGGCCATCTAATTAATATTGTCCTAATATCCCCTGTTTTCATTCTAACTTGTGCGGTACAGCTGATACAATATAACAAGTTACATTTATATTAACTAATTAAATAACTACGACTGCTCTTATTGTGTGCTGCAGTTTAGATTTCACACGAGCAACACAGGTGACAGAACAGCTGCATCGGGAAAAAAATGTATTTAATTTGAAGTTTTTATTTCTTAAGCTACATTCAGTTTTGTCTCTTTTTTCAGTGATAATGCTTGTGATTTTGTCACAGTTGGTCATGGAAAAAAAAGTTGTAGACAAATGTTGTCATACTTTGCATTTATAGAAATGTCCACTGCTGACATTCTTACCTGTGTGAATCGAGGTAAGGACTCCTCGAGAACATTAGCAGTCTCTTTGACCCGGTCTCTGATGGCTCTATGCTGCTCTTCTGCCTCCGTAGCCCTTCTACAGAACTCTTCCCCCTGAACGGGGTTTAGCTCTGACAAGCGTTTCGCCAGAGAGCATAATCGTGCTATCAAGGGTCTGTGTTCAGCTATAGACTCCCTCAGCCCCTTTGTAGAAAAGAGAAACAAATAAAGATTGTATAACAATGTAGAAAGCAGACATCCTTCAGAAAGTACCTGATTTGAGTTTAATCCCTAAAATTGGTAGAGGAAGTTTGAAAAAACAAATCCTGTGGTCTCAATTTACATGGCATACTTGACAAAACTGAAATGTCATTATAGTGTAGTACACATGGAAAAGTAACCATGCCAGGAAGTAGATTAGACAAATGACCTGTACTAGAACAGAACAGCTCATTCAGCTAGAGGGAAATGGTGGCCGACTGTGAAGTATAAAAAGGACTTCTTTGTTGAACTGGTTCAAAGGTTGATAGGGAAAAGCTGGCATTCTGTTGTGGAGAGGCAGGTTTCTTCTACCTGTAAAAGGTCCTGTTGTTCCCGAAATGCCTCGTAGCTAATTGTGCTTAGGGAGAGCTGGCCAATCAGGGTTTTAGTTTCCTCAAGCCAGGGCGAAACCTCAGCGAGGCCCTCTGAGAACTGGAGAAGAAGCGACTGAGCGTGCTCAAGTTGCAGCACCACATGGGAATTGGTTGCTGAGGTGGTGTTGCATTGTTCCTGTAAGGCATCTAGTGGGGCCTGCAGAGAGAGGTGAAAGAAAAAATGAACATTTTCAACATTTTTGGACTTTAAACGTACATTTGTTCACATTATTAATGTTGGTCGCATGCATTGGAAGTGTAATTAAATACCTGCAAATCACATGTTTCTCCTTCATCACTGTATGTCAGCAAGATTTCAGCAATCTTCACCATCTTCTCAATGTTGAACCTGTGTTGCAGAATCTCCACTGCTAAAATCTATTCAGGAGATAATCATGAAATTAAATTCCATTACGAAACATTGTGTAAACTAATTTCTAAAACTTCTTTACACCTTACATGAACGTTATGTTTTCTATTCGTGGAAAACTACCGACCTTTTGCTCATAGAGTTGTTCTGCTATGAGCTGTGGCTCCAGATGAATAATTTTCAGCTTTTCAAGACTCAGCGCTGTGTCTCTTAACCAAGCCATCTCCTTCACCACTGCCTGTTCCAGCTATGAAGTATATACTGTATGTTAGCAAAGCATTAATGACATTTAATATATAAACCACTGTCTGTATAAAAACAGCAATCGAACATACACAACAATATCAGGAAACATATGTATGTGTTATTTTAATATGAAGAGAATTAAGGAATGACATTTAAATACATTTTACAAAAGAGAGATATTTCGGCTAAAATCATATTGTCTTTCTAAATTATTAGTAAAAAACATTGCTTGAAAATATAATTTTTATAATATAAATGTCCCAATAAATATTATAGCTTAAAGAGGAGAAAAAACCTGATGTTAATTTTTGTGTATGCTATAGCCAACCCAGTCTCATGGCATTTCGTGTTATTAGTCACGAAATTAATTTAATCTATTGATTCGTGTTCACCAACACGATTTTCACCTTTTTTTCGTGTCACACAGAACGATTTTAAATGCAATGTATTTTTGTCCGGTCGGGTCTTGGAAGACCAGAAGCTGTGTGGTTCATAAAAACATTTTCTTACTCAATATCTTACCCTAAGCCTAACCCTATCCCTTTTATTTTAAATTGTATAATGTGTGAGTTTTTTTGCCGTCAGTGAGGAAAAGAAATGGCTCAGAGCCTCAGAATACTGACATCTGTATTTTATGTCATCTTTTTTTCCTTCTAATTTGTTATTATTTGGTGCAGGCACGAAACACACTACCAATATAAATACATTGCTTCTAAAATCGTTCTGTGTCAGAATACTTAAATCTGTATTTTTTTAAATGTCTTTTTCCTTCTAATTTGTTATTATTTACATTGCTTTTAAAATCGTTCTGTGTGACACGAAAAAAATTGCGAAATCGTGTTGGTGAACACGAATCAATAGATTAATTTCGTGACTATAACACGAAATGCCGTGAGACTGTGTTGCAACCGCAGGCCTAAAACAATTGGCCAAAAACAATCGCGTTTCCACTACAATCGCGTTTCCACTACAGCGCGGAGCACGGTTTAAGAGGGCTGTGACGTCAGCGGCCCGTCTTTGGTTGCGTTTCCACTTGGCCTAGTACCGGCCGGCGGGTCCTAATTCACAGTTTTTCTGGCCTCATAAAATCGTGGGTCTAGGGCCAGAGACAACGAGGCTGAGTCGGGCTGAGTATGCTAAACTAGAGAGAGCATCGCTGGCAAGGGGGCTACAACTACAACAAGATGGACATATTTGACCGTGATTTAATTGTAATACACGTTTCAAAATGATGCCGAAGTAACAACATACTGATACCGGTTAGTAAAAACCATGAATTAATGCTTTGTCAAGTCTGCAGACAGACGGCAGGCGAAAAACCTTTTAAAATGCGTGTTTTCTAAATGGAGATTGGCTAAGCTAACGCAGTATATGCTCCGACCGTCCACACTCACAACAACGGCCTATACAGACATAAATAAAGCAGCGACTGTATTCGCCATGACACAGGCAGTCTGTGGTGTGTACTTGTTTAACTTTTGTCTAGTTTCTGAACAGATATGAGGAGCTGTGAGCTCTGAGTGCCAACAGCTAACGGCTGTGTTGTTTTTCTGGGGTTCTCATTGAAGATGACGTCACGGCTCCGCCTACACTGTGTTACTATAGATACTACCCCAGTTCCTAAACTGTAATGGAAATGCGCCATAAAGTGAGCCAGTCCTAACGAGGCCTAGCCATACCGAGCGAGGCCGAGCGAGGCCGTGTAGTGGAAACGCGCCATGGTGGCGCGTTTCCAGGTGCAAGAGAAACACAGGTGTAACTAATCACACTAATTATAGATCCATCCCTGTATTAACATTATTAATCACACCTGTGTTTTTCCTTCAAAACATCTGCTGTAATAACATTACTTTACAGCAGAATTATAACCAAAGCAGGAACCATCTAAGTCCACTTAACTCGATATGAGCGACCATGTAAATATGCAGAAATATAGAAATGAGATGCATCTGCTGATTTGGAGCCCTTCCATAGTAAGTCCTTATAGCCTATCTGATAACTAGGTTAAACATTACGGCCCGTCCACACGGCAGCGTCGCGTGCTTCAACGGAGACGCTTCCCATTCACTTTGAATGGGGTGACGTCACGCTTTGCCGAACTGCATTGTGGTTCCGTCGCGTCGCTTTGCCTCCGTTGCTCGCTTCGAAAGTTGAGAAAAGTTCAACTTTTCAAGCGTAGACGGAAGCTCCAGCCAATCAAATCATATGCCAGTACAAGCTCTAGCCAATCAAACCGCGTGCTTGTGTGTCCAGGGCGGGAGATTAATGTGATTGGCTGTTGGTCGCACGCCAGACACGCCCATCGGCAAGCTTCAACGCACGCTGCCGTGTGGACGTACCGTTAATGTTACACCCTCTAGCTTTTTCTTTGAAAAAAAGTTACTTGCTAGTCAGCAAAGGCTGCATGATAAAACATTGGATAGCAAGCTAGGTACATAGATATTAGCATTTAGCATTTGTATTGTTTACCAATGCAATGGCTTTGCTTAATAATCCTTAACATATCCTGAGTAACTTTTTGTTTAGGCACAGTTATGTTGCCAGCTATCAGCTAGCTAGCATGCTACTTTCAAAAACTCATACTGAAACCTAATGTTAGCCTCCACATCTTTAAAAAAAAAACATGAATGCTAAAGATCAAGCTAGTTAGAGTCAGGTAAGTTCAGGTACTTTTCATTGAAATAGTAAGCAACATTTCCAAAGCTTCTGAAGTGTTTGTTTTAGTATTGAGTGAGAATGTTACCCTCTGTTTTTCAGCTGCACATAGTACTGCATCTCCAGCATGTGTATGCGCTCCAGCTGCCCCCAGGAGCTCCCTCTCGATGCGGCCCAGCCACAGGTGAAGGTCCTCTTGGCTAGAGGTACAGCGACTGGAGGCCTCCAGGGCCTGCTCCAGCCTCTGCAGGATGTCCAGACTGCTTAGACTTAGCACAGAGCAACGGATTCGCAGAGCATCCATCTTCTCCTGCACCTGCTCGGCTTCCTCCTCTGAAAGAATGGAAAAACCACAACCATTGGGCATATCAGCTGACATTGTGGGTAAGACAAACATTTATTTTATTTAATCAGAATCCATACTAAATCTAATGCGTATAGGCTTTTATAATCAATTGATTTTAACATTTTGCTGTGAAATTCAGTTCTGATGCTGCAGTTATAGAACATTATGTATTTATATGCGACCGTTAACCATTCTAAGCCCTTGTCATTTTTACCCTATGTGGAAAACCTTACCTGCAATTGCTTCCATCAGATTTTGTCCGGACTTTTGTATTTTCCCTAGCTCAGCAGTTTTGACTTGAATCTCTTCAACAACAGCCTAAAGGAAAAGATAAAACACATCAAAGTTATTCTAAATCAGCATAATGCACATTTAATATTCTGTTCAATAAAGTTGAACCATACATGGAACATTTCTAACCTTGGCCCTGTCTGTGGCCTCTGAGACATGTAGCATCACTCTCTCTGCATTCCGTAGTTCAGCTAGGGTCTGTTCCACAGATATGAGCCATTGCTGCAAGCTGTCTACACCTTCCTGGAAGCGTTGAGCCCTGGGCAGAATAAGCTCCAGACTCGCTCTCCTGCAACAAAAACATTTTCATTGATTACCCCTTTCGGTCATGGAGAATTGTGATATACAGTTAGCCTTGCCAAATGTAAATGTGGCATTGCCAATTGGCTAAAGGAAGCTGACCTTTGCTCTGCCCCCCGTTGTAAGGCCTCCCATTTCAGTTTGAGAGTGGAGAGCATGACCTTCTCCTGTTCCCCCTCCTCTCCTGGATGGGCCTCTACAAGCCGAGGGCCCTCCAACATCATGGAGTCCATACTACACCTTCGGTCTGTTAGGAGGCGTTGCAGGAGCTGTAAAAGAACAAAACCAAGCTCAGATCAATCCATAACTCATGAAATTGAAAAGTTGTATTTATAAAAGCAGGAGTATATAATATGTACACCTATTACAAGAAAGACAAACAAATCAAGAATAAGGACAAGGGAGAAATGTTTCAAAGGCCTTTGCGAAGACGCTTCTGTGTTAAATCAGATTAGACCTTTTCAGTTCTACAGAAAACTGATTTACCTTATATTTGAGGTATCGGAGGAAATGACATTGCTTCCAGTAAGAATTTCAGTTATCAAAGCCCCATTGTTATTTTCTTTGCCTTTGGGTCAGAGCCCTGTCTCGTGTGTCAAGCTTACATTGTCAAGAGCCAGGCAGGTTTCACCTCATCCAAACAGCTCACAATGGGTGTGATTACAGCTGAAAGGTGAGAGACGTCCCCGCTTTTTTCCTACCCCCAGGAAATGTACACAAAGCCTTACTGAAGAAGCTCATTGTGGCTATGAACACAACCTATTCACCGCTGAATAGAACTGTATTTAAATTCTAAAGGAAGCAGTTCAGTTTGTGAGCTAGCCTTTCTATAGGTATACCTTCTAGGTGTCGACACAGCGCTATAATATTCTAAAGCATTTTTTGGACAAGAAATTAGGTGATGTGATTTTGGTGATAGCAGACCTTTTGTTCTTGGAGCTGTGCTTTCACCACTTTGACCTCTGAGGATGGGGGTTTCTGGTTGGCTGTGAGCTCCTCTATCTCGCAGACCCATTTGAGCAAAGCTTCTAGGTTTTGGAGAAATGTCTCAGGATCTGTTGACATATCCCTCAGTGCCAAAGACGATCTTGTTCCCTTGAGAGAGACCATTACAAAGTATTAGCTGAAGTACGAATGAAAGAAAGTACTGTTTGCAAAATATTCCAGGTACAACTTGATTAACTATAACATTACAAATACCTCATTCACACCAACGCAACTCCGGTTCAAGCTCCGTGCTAGAGCTTTTCAGGTTCAGAACCGGTTCTTCGGTTTAGCTCCGGCTCTTTTCACACCGCCCAGAGTCCGACTGGTGCTGCGTCATTGCGTCATCGTTTGCGTCATGACGTAACCGTTTGCGTGCCTGCTTCATAAAGCCAAACCGCGCGGAATTTGCGGAAAACCCTCACAGCTCACACCGACAACAACAACAATAGCCGATTGTGTTGAAGCGCTACTCGTTTTGGTTTTGCTCTGTCGAAACGAAATGGAAGACCAGTAGGTAGCTGGTCTCTTCAGTGGACCACTGCTGCTTGTTAAGTGTCTCCATCGTTGTGTACAAACTGGATAAAACGCGGGCTTTTTGTTGTTGTTCAGGAGTTGATCCCGCCCCTGCCCCTGCCCACGCCTCGACGTAAGCGTGACGTATGAGGTGCTTTTGCTCTAGCCGGACAATTTTTTGGTGCTTGAAACAAACCGGATTCCGGAGCTAAGAGGCTGCTCCGCTGCGGTGTGAACAGGAAAAACCGGTGCTTTTCAAGCTCCAGCTCTGAACCGGCCCTGAAACACCGTTGGTGTGAATGAGGTAAAAGAGAGACAACGTTAAGGGGTAAAACATACCCTCCATCTATCCATGCAGGAATCTTGGTCTGAGCTTGAGTGTCCATCACTTTGGAGCTACAAAAATAAACACAGTCAGCATGTTGTTGCGATTCATAAAGTCACAGGACCCACCATGATGTTATACATTCAAAACATTTTTGTCTAAAGATAGAGCCTAGATGGGAAAAGGTTAGAAAGTTCACATGAGAACAAGAAAGGATGACATGGAAGATAGATGAGATTTGTTGTGTTTGAAAATCGGAGTTGTTATCAACCTCTGCAAGTTCATCTGCGACACCGTTCAGGACTCTGACAGTTCTGGTGACAATGGGGTCCCCTCCCTTATCTCCAGACGGATACTCTACCACTTCCACAATTTCCGTAACGGTCGTCTCCGTCACCTCTGTCACCTCTGTGACCTCACGTGATGCCCGAGCCTTCCAGGACCAGGGGCTTCCTTCTCTAGAGTCTCTCCTCTGGAAGCTGGCCCTTCTCTCTGTAGCGTTTAAGTCTGGGTTAGCCAAGGGGGATCTGGTGAACTCCGGAGGCACTGTTATTCTTGTAAGTGTACCATTTCGGGATGTTTTTATTGGAGAAGGGCTGTTGTGCCAGTCAAGAGTACTGGTGCTTCTGATTGTGGAAGCGGGGGAGCTGCGGAGGGGTTTGTCCGAAATGGGAGTAGGAGTCCCCTCTTCCCTCTTATGATCAATGTTTTGTAACTCCTGTTCACTCTCCACCTCTGCTTCCTTGATTGCATCCTCCCTTGCTTTGTCTTTGACTTGTATTGACACTTCTGGTTTGACCTCGCCATGTTGCTCCTGGGGCTGCCACTCTCTTCGTCGTTGGTAACACTCCTTCAGGAAAGCCTCGTCTGACCTCACATGCTTGGATTTCTGGCCCAGGCAGCTGGGCCTGCTGATGAGGTTACCCATAATCCTTCAGCCCAGAGGCTAGTGAGGTAAAAGGTGAGGTAAGGCCCCTCGGCCATGCATGCGGAAGATCCTTCAGCTACCTAAAATAAGACAAGGGGGCTCTGAGTCATCATGTGAACACATGTTCATTGTGTAAATAAACAAAAACATATATCCAACAGACCTTCCTTTGTTAAAGCACAAATTCCTTGCTTTAAAGAAGAAATGCACCAATAATGATATTTGATATCAGTCCGATACTGACTAGCTGGTTTTGTTATTGGTGACAACGTGCCAATGTGGTGTCGGATACTATTTCACTTAATAACACTTCAGTTCATTTGTTTAAAAACATGATTTTAAATCAAACACTGATATTAGATTTGAACTCAATGGTCTGATAGCCATGTAACATTATTTTGGATGTAACCCCCACTGCCTCCTAAAATCCAATATAAGACAAAATGAAACCAGTCCCTCACATATTTCATTTGCTAAATTTCTGTGCCATTGTTGCCCTTTTCTTGGCACCGAAAGACCAGAGGAAACTACAGCAGAGATACTTGGCCTGGATATTCCTTGTTCCTTTGTCTGCCTTCAGACCACATACACACATGCCCCCCATCTAACTCACATCACCAACTGAAATATTCTGGGCTTGGAAATCAGTGTGACAGGCTTGTCGAGGATCCCACTGTTGGGCCTGGCATGCAGAAGCGGTGGCAGACAGCCAGCTCTTTCTCTCACTCAGCCTGGACCAGTCCTGGGAAACCCGCTAAGAATCTGATCAAATATGACAGCCATAAAAACGCAGACACAGCCTCATTTCTCAGGGGTGTTAATACGAAGGGGAGTAGGATCAAACAGTGGCATGGGGGCAGGAGTAGTTAGGACAACCGCAGCAATAGACAGCATAGTGTGCAGTATTAAATTGTCTTTTTGTGGACAAAAAGGCTTAACAAAATGCTTTTCCATTATGATCGCCAATTGTAGATTATAGAATACAGGGATTTTCTCTCTTCTAAATTATTAAATTACATTTTGTAATCAAATAATGATGTCATCAACATATTGTTTGACAAATATTTGTATGTTTCTGAAAATACTCTCATTGACAGTGACAATTTCAAACTGTGTCTGCCCGTCTGCTTCCCCGGTCAGCTCAGTACTTTCATTGTTTTGACAGAAGGGTTGAAGGTGAATGCAATTATCTTGGTCTAGAGGAGCTGAGGTGAGCCCATCAGGAGATCACAGGGAGGGTTCCTGTCGAGGCCGAGTCCTCCCTCTGAGGCGGGGTTGGACTGGTCCACTCAGAATTATACAGGTCACCTCAGGTCATGCTTGGTGACTAAAGACCTGTGGGGGGGCCAATATGGGTCAACAATGGGGGAATTGGGAGGTTGGCTCCTTAAGCTACTGAGTAGGTTTTTTTTGTGGTTTGAAGAGGCATATTAATACTGCTGTATGGCTACCAATACATGTTAGTATTGCTGTAAGCAGCCACAAATAATGCTGAATATGCAGATCTCTCATCTTTGCCAGAGGTTAGACACAAAGACAGTCAGCATGCCAAGGAGAACTTAGCATTATGCTACTGTCAATATCAACAACATGTTTGAATCAAATGTCATTATAATTTAGATACGCAGCTTTTAAGTAATTGAGAATGACCTAGTTTGATACGAGGGCTCCATGTGCATTAGGCTAGTAATTACCTACATCATGCACGTCTCTGTAGAGCAGATGATGCAGTCAATGGATCCACAGGGGAGAACACAGTCAGATCAGAAAGTGGTGCCCAGACAAAGCCCCGGCCCCAGGATCAATGATTACTCAGTTAGCTCAGATCACTGCCCAGCGGTCTCCTGAGGAGGGCAGAGAGAGTGTCTGTGGCCGTGTTCGTATGGGTTGACAATTCAAGAGAGAGGGTGTGCCGTGTCTGGTTACTGCAGCGCATGTGTGGTCGTTTGCTAAATTACACACAGCAATGTATGTGAGGATATGCTGAGTAGTATTATTAGAGAGCACATGGCGAACTACCAAGGATATGTTATTGAAAGATAATATGCCAATATAAAAAAAACCTTTCTATAAGACTGGGCCATTCAGATGCTTGTATACTGTACAACGTATTTACAGAACGGTTAGTTAATATCAAACACATTGCAACCATACTCTAGCTGACATCAATTAGATGCCACTACCAAATAGTTATCCTCCAATCAAATTAAACCATAGAAACCTTCACAATATGTTTTAAGCCTGATATCTGATATGCACCCCCACTTTCTAGCATAATGATACTAGACAGCTAACCAGGGAACCACTTCAACTCGTATTGCGAGTGACCTGCCCATCCCATTACTTAACCTATTTTTGAAATGGCCCTTAATTCAGCCCAGACCTTTCTCTGCTCTCAACACTGATTTACGATAGATAACCGCAGTCCATTTTGTGATGAATAGAGTGGTATAGGGTCTTCTCCGTGCCTAAGAAATATGGAAGAAAATCCTCTTGTAATAATTGGTCGATAAATGAATTCCATATTTGATCTATAAGCTTATCTTAATTCCAATACGGGAGACACAAGCATGCATTTTACATATTTTGATCACCTTATATTTCATGATACTAATGAAAAGCTCTAATGTCTTACGTATTGCATTGATTGACCCACTTGATATATAAAGCATAGTGTGGGTGGGTTTTTAATTAGTAGAAGAACAATAATCATCAATCACAACAGTATAGCCCCATACTGTTGTGTCACTGCCGTGCATCTGCCTCTGTTAAGGGAGGTCCTGAAGTAGTAATCATGGTAGTGGTCCCTAATCAAGGATGGCAGCTGTGCATCCACCCATGAGACCAATAACATTTTAAGGTGGATATTGTACAAGGTCACACGTTTCTCTCTAAGACAGGCTTTACTCAGGCGAAATAAAGCTACAGTGAAATGTCAGCATGGTTTTGGGAAAAGAGTTGCTGAAAACGGCCTACTGGGGTATTTTGATCTGAATCTTTAAAAAGATCCAAGCAGCTAGAAGACTGTTGAAAACAAACTGTTGAACGGACTAAAATACTTACATCCAAATGAGCCATTCACACTATTGTCGCCTTTACTGGAATATTTCATTGCCTTTCCACAATTGTATCTTTCATTCCGTTCGAAAAAGTGAAGAAAATCAAATTTGAAGTCACAACTCACATGGCTCCAAAGTCCAAAACCAGACTCTCTATATCCAATCCTGTGTTACTGGCAGTTTTGGCGGTTTGAAGCTTGCGTGAACCACACTTACCCTGAAGCACGATTGAGCCAAACAGCACGAGTAAAGGAATCCAGCCGGTCCTCAGTCACCATTCAAAAAGGGGGATAAAGGGGTGAAAAAAAAATCCAGCTTTGTTTGAGCATCCTTTGAACGGCCTCCCAGCTCCAACATCCCAAACATGAACACTCCTCACACACACATGCATACTCTCCCAAACTCACACTCAATCAAGTTCACTCATTCACACATGCCCACATACAAACACACTTTCTAAACACACTCACACATGCCCTGATAACTCACGCTTTTCCGTTGCCCACAGTCACAGGCAAACAATGTCCTCCTCTCCCCTCTCAGTGCACCCCTCCCCTCACTTCACTTCTCCTCCCACCAGCTCTGCTCCTCTCCCTTTCTTCTTTGTTGTGCGAGCTGTGATAGAGGAATTCCTTCCTTGTTATCGCCGCCGATGGGATAGTGCGCCCAGATGGAGACAATGTATTCCAACGGCTCAGTTGAACTCCCACAGTTCCCAGCCAAGACCAGTTTTCATATGGAGGTCAGATCGAACCGGTTCCATGTAACGAGAAGGCGCTGGTAGTATTCTCACCAGCACTTGTGCTGCTCAGGTTGCTCCTGTACCAAGCAGCGAGGCGGCAAAGTGCCCCTTTTACCTTCCCCAGGCTTTTTCTCACTCTCTCTCCCCCTTCTCATCCAACAAAGCCCCTCCTCTGGGTCCGACTTCGGCTCAGAAACTCCATGCTGCTTCTGCTTGAAAAATGGGATGGGTGGGGGGCAAAAGAAGGAGAGTTTTCTAAAGACCCCTGGGCCGCCCTTGGAACATTCACATGTTAAGTGACAGCTGCCTCAGTCCATTGCCTCTCACGATGGCGAGCGAGAGAAGTGCAGGCTACAAAAGAAGAGACCCACACCCACCCTGCCCTGCCACCCACCCACTCACACATTCAACCCCAACCCCCTTGCAGCCCCTGCCCCCCCCTTCCCCATTCAGAGTCAGTGCTGCAGTCTCCACAGCAGCAACAAAGACGACTAATTACTGTAAAACATCTCAGATTACTTTTCAACTCAGTTCCAGCCATTGCTAGCCCAGCCCATAAACAAAGAGGCTGGAAGGAAACACACACAAGAAAAAATAGAGAGCAACGGGAAGATAATACAGAGTGTTTTTGGCATGGGAAACTAAAGGAAGGACCCCTATGGTGAAATTCTATCATGCCCCATTCAATAAGTCACAACATTTGCCTGATAAATGGAGAACACCAAGCATACTGTATGCAAACACAATTACAGCAACATTTTCTGTTAAATGGTGTTTATTCAGATATGAACAACACCAGTTTTAATACATCAGATACTTTCTTCATGTCTTTGTAAATTACATAATGTGCAGGTGCACTGAGACCCAACAAAGGCATGCATACAGGTAACAGTCTAACAAAGAGTGTTTACGCCCCAAATCCTTTCCCTCTCTCTTATCTCCAGCCAACCACATAATCAACCAATCGACTGATCCAGCAAATGCATGCATGCATGTACAGTAGACACACACCCACCCACACAGACTCTCTCACAGTCTTGCCAATACACACTGTATGTGTGCAGAACCTGCCCCTTCGACTACTCCCTAATCCAAGGTCACCCGTTGAGTGTTTTGGATTAGTTCAACAAGAATGCCTCTGAAGGAAGCCAAACTTACGATTGGCTCTTCAAATAATTATTACAACTAGTTTACATTTT